GAGAATGATCATCTATATTTGTTGTTGGTATTAATTCTTAAATTTAAATATGTATTACTAATAATTATTCTCCTACATGTTAGAATTTAGGTGGTAGGCTTACACGCTAATATTTTCTGATGCCTAATTAATGATTTAATAATATTATTGATTCAGTTATCTATGGTTCATGTTATATGTATTATTCATTTTTTAAATATTTGTACAATTATTTATTTGAAATTGTTAGGCTAGTTGAATTATTAATTACATAAACCCTACTTGATTATATATATTATTATGGTGTCGTATTTCCAAATTGATGTGTGTAATTGGCCGCGTTTGCGTATTCAGTTTGACTTATAATTAAACCAAATGTCTTTTGATGTTCTGCAATAAGACGAGATTATCTGTTTGTTTATTATTAGTTTGACCCGCAGATTATTCGTCTATTTGTGGATTAAATATCATATGTTTTTTTTTTTTTTTGGTACATAAATATCATATGTTTGATTGAAAGTCGGGCATTATTATTTATTATATCCATTTTTTTTTTACAACCCAAATTCTATTCCGTGAAGCCAGAAAAACTTTTATTTTTTGTAGCCAGTCACAGAGCTATGGCTCGACTAATTCATTGGTCGATCCGAGTCACAAAGCTATGGCTCGACTAATCTATTGGTCGATCCGGGTCGCACACCTGACAGTGGTGGATAAATCTGTCAACAAGAGTTTTTTTTTTCCATCCACAAGGACTCGAAGCCGAAACCTTGCTTAAGCGACATCAAACTGTTTACCACGTGAGTCAACCCATGTTGATCAGAAAAACTTTCTATCAAGCGGAATATCATAAAAAGCTTCATTTATTATTATTATTATTATTATTATTATTATTTTCAATAATGCAATAGAGAATAAGAATTTTCTATCCAGATAATGCATTATTTTCCCACTTTTTCAATGAAAAGGGCAACCAATCAGGTCCACAGTATCCATACGTGTCCAGTACTTGTGTTTGATTCTTGAGAGGCATCAATCAAAGGCTGATGCTCACAAATATGTACAATAATAAAACATAATTAAGCTTCCAAATTCTAATTAAAAAGAAAAAAATTATTTCTTGATCATCACATTGGCCATTTTTGATTTATTCTCATCATAAGAAGAAAAAAATATGGCACGATTGAAATTGGCTTTGTTGTGAACGGTTTTGCTCATTGATCCCCTGCATGACTTCATATGTGCATGCATTTTTTCCGGCTTGAAAATCTTCCCACATTGCCTGCCAACCAAAAAAAAAAATCCGGTTCGAAATCGATAGAAATTCATAATTAGTTCTACGAAAATTCGGAAAAAAAACAGTCGACTTACGCGCAATTAGGCCCGTTGAGTGGCTTGTAAGTCGGCATTTCCTTCGCTCGTTCGTAGCTCTTTCTTCTATCGTTGCATAGCGAAAAATATCGACCACGAAATATTTAAATCATGTCACGAATCACAATCGATCGAAAAAAGTCAAAACAATAATAAAATTTTACGCGAAAACGACACAAAAAAAAAGAAAAGAATTAATTTTTACGTGTTACTACTAATCCGTTGATGTTGGGTCCCACGAGGCTTCTCGGTTATCGACCGGTGAAAAGAAGGGCACACGGGACGTACATTTTCACTCGTTTGGCCAGAGCAAATGCTCAAGAAACTAGGCGGTTTTTTCGGCTTACCACGGGCAATCGTCACGGCAGATTCCTTAGTCTCCGTGCCACGACAGCTGAGTAGGCTCCGTAAGCTCATCGAGAAACGGGTCATGCCCTTTTCGTCGATTTTTTTGGCGGTAGTGATGAATTTATTCGTGTTCGAAATATTTTTTCCCGGTTCGAGTTTTGTTTCGAGGTCAGTTGAGGCCAGTTGCTCTGTTTTCTCCTTGGTAATTTCTTGGTATGATAATAAGTCTATATAAATTTTGAAATGTGAGAATTATATTTTCTTGATCATGCATATATAAATAGAAATTTTGTATGTTTGATATGATTTTTTTTTTTTTTT